ATCGCTGATATGCTTGTTTAAAGCTCTGAGAAGTCGCTGATCTGCAGTTATCAAGCTCTGAGAAGTCGCTGATCTGCACGCATCAAACCCTGCAAAGTCGCCAATCAACCTGGTTCCAAGCTCTGCGGCATCGCTGATATGCTTGTTTAAAGCTCTGAGAAGTCGCTGATCTGCAGCTATGAAGCTGTGAGAAGTCGCTGATCTGCACGCATCAAACCCTGCAAAATCGCCAATCAACCTGGTTCCAAGCTCTGCGACATCGCTGATATGCTTGTGTAAAGCTCTGAGAAGTCGCTGATCTGCACGCATCAAGCTCTGCCAGAGCTTGATGCTTGGTCCTTTATTTGTGGTGTCAGGCACCCAAAGGATAGTAGCCTTGCAGAACTTGCGAAATCGCATTCTAAAGGAGGCCTTTGATAAAGAAATCATTACTTTCTGGAGGCCTGCGGTTTGGCCGGCAGCAGAACTTTCCTGATCATTGCTTTTGCCAAACCCACAACCACTCCCCCCTGCAGAGCTTTCCCTGATGATTGCTGATTGCAAAGCCAGAGGCACCTTCCGACCGCACACACCGGCGACCGGCCCTGCTAATCAGGACCCCAGAGCTTGCTCCTTTATTTGTGGTGTCAGGCACCCAAAGGGGGGTAGCCTTGCAGAACTTGAGAAATCGCATTCTTTGAGAGGCCTTTGATAAAGAAATCATTACTTTCTGGAGGCCTGCGGTTTGGCCGGCAGCAGAACTTTCCTGATCATTGCTTTTGCCAAACCCACAACCACTCCCCCATGCAGAGCTTTCCCTGATGATTGCTGATTGCAAAGCCAGAGGCGCCTTCCGACCGCACACACCGGCGACCGGCCCTGCTAATCAGGACCCCAGAGCTTGCTCCTTTATTTGTGGTGTCAGGCACCCAAAGGGGGGTAGCTTTGCAGAACTTGAGAAATCGCATTCTTTGAGAGGCCTTTGATAAAGAAATCATTACTTTCTGGAGGCCTGCGGAACTTTCCTGATCACTGCTTTTGCCAAACCCACAACCACTCCCCCCTGCAGAACTTTCCCTGATGATAGCTGATTGCAAAGCCAGAGGCACCTCCTGACCGCACACACCGGCGACCGGCCCTGCTAATCAGGACCCCAGAGCTTGCTCCTTTATTTGTGGTGTGAGGCACCCAAAGGGGGGTAGCCTTGCAGAACTTGAGAAATCGCATTCTTTGAGAGGCCGTTGATAAAGAAATCATTACTTTCTGGAGGCCTGCAGTTTGGCCGGCAGGAGAACTTTCCTGATCATTGCTTTTGCCAAACCCACACCCACTCCCCCATGCAGAGCTTTCCCTGATGATTGCTGATTGCAAAGCCAGAGGCACCTTCCGACCGCACACACCGGCGACCGGCCCTGCTAATCAGGACCCCAGAGCTTGCTTCTTTATTTGTGGTGTCAGGCACCCAAAGGGGGGTAGCCTTGCAGAACTTGAGAAATCGCATTCTTTGAGAGGCCTTTGATAAAGAAATCATTACTTTCTGGAGGCCTGCAGAACTTTCCTGATCATTGCTTTTGCCAAACCCACAACCACTCCCCCATGCAGAGCTTTCTGTGATGATTGCTGATTGCAAAACCAGAGGCACCTTCCGACCGCACACACCGGCGACCGGCCCTGCTAATCAGGACCCCAGAGCTTGCTCCTTTATTTGTGGTGTCAGGCACCCAAAGGGGGGTAGCCTTGCAGAACTTGAGAAATCGCATTCTTTGAGAGGCCTTTGATAAAGAAATCATTACTTTCTTGAGGCCTGCGGAACTTTCCTGATCATTGCTTTTGCCAAACCCAGAACCACTCCCCCATGCAGAGCTTTCCCTGATGATTGCTGATTGCAAAGCCAGAGGCACCTTCCGACCGCACACACCGGCGACCGGCCCTGCTAATCAGGACCCCAGAGCTTGCTCCTTTATTTGTGGTGTCAGGCACCCAAAGGGGGGTAGCCTTGCAGAACTTGAGAAATCGCATTCTTTGACAGGCCTTTGATAAAGAAATCATTACTTTCTGGAGGCCTGCGGAACTTTCCTGATCACTGCTTTTGCCAAACCCACAACCACTCCCCCCTGCAGAACTTTCCCTGATGATAGCTGGTTGCAAAGCCAGAGGCACCTCCTGACCGCACACACCGGCGACCGGCCCTGCTAATCAGGACCCCAGAGCTTGCTCCTTTATTTGTGGTGTGAGGCACCCAAAGGGGGGTAGCCTTGCAGAACTTGAGAAATCGCATTCTTTGAGAGGCCGTTGATAAAGAAATCATTACTTTCTGGAGGCCTGCGGTTTGGCCGGCAGCAGAACTTTCCTGATCATTGCTTTTGCCAAAACCACAACCACTCCCCCATGCAGAGTTTTCCCTGATTGATTGCTGATTGCAAAGCCAGAGGCACCTTCCGACCGGACACACCGGCGACCGGCCCTGCTAATCAGGACCCCAGAGCTTGCTCCTTTATTTGTGGTGTCAGGCACCCAAAGGGGGGTAGCCTTGCAGAACTTGAGAAATCGCATTCTTTGAGAGGCCTTTGATAAAGAAATCATTACTTTCTGGAGGCCTGCGGAAATTTCCTGATCATTGCTTTTGCCAAAACCACAACCACTCCCCCATGCAGAGCTTTCTGTGATGATTGCTGATTGCAAAGCCAGAGGCACCTTCCGACCGCACACACCGGCGACCGGCCCTGCTAATCAGGACCCCAGAGCTTGCTCCTTTATTTGTGGTGTCAGGCACCCAAAGGGGGGTAGCCTTGCAGAACTTGAGAAATCGCATTCTTTGAGAGGCCTTTGATAAAGAAATCATTACTTTCTGGAGGCCTGCGGAACCTTTCCTGATCATTGCTTTTGCCAAAACCACAACCACTCCCCCATGCAGAGCTTTCCCTGATGATTGCTGATTGCAAAGCCAGAGGCACCTTCCGACCGCACACACCGGCGACCGGCCCTGCTAATCAGGACCCCAGAGCTTGCTCCTTTATTTGTGGTGTCAGGCACCCAAAGGGGGGTAGCCTTGCAGAACTTGAGAAATCGCATTCTTTGAGAGGCCTTTGATAAAGAAATCATTACTTTCTGGAGGCCTGCAGTTTGGCCGGCAGAAGAACTTTCCTGATCATTGCTTTTGCCAAACCCACACCCACTCCCCATGCAGAGCTTTCCCTGATGATTGCTGATTGCAAAGCCAGAGGCACCTTCCGACCGGACACACCGGCGACCGGCCCTGCTAATCAGGACCCCAGAGCTTGCTCCTTTATTTGTGGTGTCAGGCACCCAAAGGGGGGTAGCCTTGCAGAACTTGAGAAATCGCATTCTTTGAGAGGCCTTTGATAAAGAAATCATTACTTTCTGGAGGCCTGCGGAACCTTCCTGATCATTGCTTTTGCCAAACCCACAACCACTCCCCCATGCAGAGCTTTCCCTGATGATTGCTGATTGCAAAGCCAGAGGCACCTTCCGACCGGACACACCGGCGACCGGCCCTGCTAATCAGGACCCCAGAGCTTGCTCCTTTATTTGTGGTGTCAGGCACCCAAAGGGGGGTAGCCTTGCAGAACTTGAGAAATCGCATTCTTTGAGAGGCCTTTGATAAAGAAATCATTACTTTCTGGAGGCCTGCAGTTTGGCCGGCAGGAACTTTCCTGATCATTGCTTTTGCCAAACCCAGAACCACTCCCCCATGCAGAGCTTTCCCTGATGATTGCTGATTGCAAAGCCAGAGGCACCTTCCGACCGCACACACCGGCGACCGGCCCTGCTAATCAGGACCCCAGAGCTTGCTCCTTTATTTGTGGTGTCAGGCACCCAAAGGGGGGTAGCCTTGCAGAACTTGAGAAATCGCATTTCTTTGAGAGGCCTTTGATAAAGAAATCATTACTTTCTGGAGGCCTGCAGTTTGGCCGGCAGAAGAACTTTCTTGATCATTGCTTTTGCCAAACCCACACCCACTCCCGCATGCAGAGCTTTCCCTGATGATTGCTGATTGCAAAGCCAGAGGCACCTTCCGACCGCACACACCGGCGACCGGCCCTGCTAATCAGGACCCCAGAGCTTGCTCCTTTATATTTGTGGTGTCAGGCACCCAAAGGGGGGTAGCTTTGCAGAACTTGAGAAATCGCTTTCTTTGAGAGGCCTTTGATAAAGAAATCAATGCTTTCTGGAGGCCTGCGGTTTGGCCGGCAGCAGAACTTTCCACAACCACCACATGCACAGCTTTCTTTATGATTGCTGATCCAAACCAGACCCACACGCCGGCGACCGGCCCTGCTAATGAGGATTTCAACGCTTGCTCCTTTATTTGTGGTGTACATGCACATTTCCTTTTGATTGCTGATCCAAACCAGAGCCACAGGCCGGCGACCGGCCCTGCTAATCAGGACCCCAGAGCTTGCTCCTTTCGAGTTCGATTCAATAGATAGTTACACATGCATAGTCGACATAGATAGTTACACATGCTTAGTTGACATAGATAGTTACACATGCTTACTTGACATAGATAGTTACACATGCATAGTTAACATACATACACAGACTTAGATTTTATAGTGGTGCGGCTATTTTTTTCCTGACATCAGGCAGAACAGCAGAGACAGCATTGGAGTGCCATGATGAAGATGAGAGGAGGAGGAGGAGGTGAGACTCAGCGATCGGACACACATGAGACGATGGAAGAGACAAGCGATGTAGACCTAGAAGCGACGAATGAGGAGGCTGTCTCTGAGGAAAAGCCTGTGCCCGAAGATGAGCAGGCAGATCTTGAGCAGGAGAAGCCTGCTGATGGGGAGGATGCCGCTCATGAGGAGGCTGCCTCGAAGGAAAGGGCTGGGCGCGATGATGAGCAGACATATTTTGAGCAGGAGAAGCCTGCTGATGGGGAGGATGCCGTTCATGAGGAGGCTGCCTCGAAGGAAAGGCCTGGGCGCGATGATGAGCAGACAGATCTTGAGCAGGAGAAGCCTGCTGATGGGGAGGATGCCGTTGATGACAGCATGGCTGTTGATGACTCACTGGCTGCCGATGATGAGACACAAAATCAAGAGGAGGAGCAAGAAGAGGATGAGGAGGCTGATCATGAGCAGCACATTGGGACTGCTGAGGAAGGGAGCCAGCTTGTTGCGGCAAATGAGGCTTCGGATGATGACTTGCAAGTCATGACTCCTGTCAAGCATGCACCGCATGAGGTGCTTGTCGTGACTCCGGTGAGGCGACAGCTGAGCTTCGGATCAGAGGCTTCATCAGCTTCAGACAAGAGCATGAGGCAAGTTGGCCTAATGAGATTCTGGTCGCCGGCGGGAGCATCAGACAAGAGCATGAGCTCTCCCGTGGGCTCTCCGCTGGCAGACCTGGAGGAATATCCTGAGGCGCCTCCCAGAAAGACGAATAGGATGAGCATGGAAGATACCATAAGAGGCATGCTGCGGAGAGGTGAGCTGAGTGTGGGTGGTCAGCGGTTGAGCTTGACCGCTGAGAACATGAGAAGTGTTCATGAGTCGATGAGAAAGAGCACTGCAAGTCGAGGGCGGCCGATCAAATCCTCGAATGAGCTCAGAGGAGTCTTGGGCGGAAGGAAAACCAACCGCAGGGCCAAGAATGAGAAACCACGTCAGTTTGAGATCGCGATAAGCATGAAGCATGCCATCTGCAAAGAGATGTATGAGCAGCGGCTGAGATTTCCCAACGAGAGTTCCATGCTTGATGAGTTTTCCCGGGCCAAAAGCATCAGAAAAGATCGGCTGCAAGAGATATGGGCAAACAGAGCCGAATGGGCAAAGATGAGCCAGCATGGGAGAGCCAATGCCTCGGCCAATGAGATGAAGGGAACAAAGGCTCGCTTGAGACGAGAGGGAGGAGGCACCAAGAGGGAATTTCCTGAGCTGGTTGAGAAGGTGAGGCACTGGCTGGATAAGGAGAGGTCGCATGGGCATGTGGTCCTGGCAAAGCATTTGGCCATGACCTATGGGTCATTCCTCAAAGTGAGGGCTGATGAGCTGTCCACCCTGCTGGAGAATGAGGACTTGAGTATCCCTGACCGAAAGGCCTATCAGTTGAAGCGAGACAAGGCGAGGAACCATGGAAACTTTCACTAAACCTCAAATCCTAAAACCCCTAATGAAGCCCTGAAGCTTAAACCCTCAAACCCTTCATAAAATCCTAAACCCAAGAATCAGTTAGATTATCGTATTTGGATTTCAATCCCCTGAACTAAACTCAAGCGCTAAACCTAGACCTTGAGCTTTAAGCACTATAAAGTGTCATCAGGAACCCTGAAATAGGCAATTAATTTAGTATCCCAAAGCTCAAGTAAAACTTGAACCATAACCCTAAGCCCTAAACCCATGAAGCAGGCCATGAGCCAGCACAAAGTGATCATGAGCACTTCCAAATCAGCCGATAAGAGAGGGGCAATCTTGGCGAGATGGTTGGGTGCGTCCATAAGAGTGCCGAACCTGACCACCCAGATCAGCGAAGTTGAAATGCAGGTCAGGGCTGAGCTCTCGTGGCAATACCACGATTACCTCATGAGCATCATCAGCCGGGGCGACGATGAGCTGCGGAAGTTTTGCGCCAAGATGAGCGAGGTGACGCCTGAGGTGAGAAAGAGATGTGTCATGGGATTCAGCGATCAGGTGCCCTTATGGCTTAAGAAAACTTCACGTCGTGAGGTCTTCGCTAAGTGGGAAGTCCCCACTAAGAAGAGGAAGATGAGCACTGGGCCTGAATTCGAGATGTTGGCCGATGAGCACGAACCAAAGCATGAGGAGCAGCCGCATGACGCACCAAACCAGCCGCATGAGGACCAGCCGCATGAGGACCAGCCGCATGACACATGGGAGTTGGCGAAGCCCGGCAGTGATGAGCAGCGAAAGCACTTGACTTCGAGGCGTGAGGAAAAGTCAGATCGCTTTCGGGTCACCTTTGAGGCGAATCAGCTGGTGAGCTCATGGTTTGATCCTGAGAAAGACCCCACGGGCCATGTGATCAGAGGCACTCTGATTGTGCCTGGCTCCCATGGGAACTTGGCCAACATTGATGAGCGAGGCTGCTGGATCGGGGATGAGAAACCCTAACCCCTAAACCCGAAACCCCCAAGCCCGACTTAATCCTAGTTAAACCCTAACTAATTAGACCGTCGATGAAACAGGCAATTGGATTCGGGATGAGCGATTCCATTACAATGGGCAAGACCGGATGCATAAGAAACTTGGTGTCAGTGTTGAGAAGTATTGAGCTGCATTCAATCATTTTCTTCGTGTGGAACTACGAATCTGAAAGTTCTAAATCATGCATTACCCGGGGCTCTTAAACGAAAGACCAGGAAGGGAATGAGCGCTGGAAGGACATTGGGGGCATGGAGAAAGTTGAGAAGTGAGTCGCCTGAGCTGCTGACGCATTTCAACGTCATGAGTCAGCCAGCATCGAACACGGATGGTGTACTTCTTCCATGGGGGATCATGGAGTCCGCAGCTGAGTACCCTTTGTCCTTATGGATGAGGGACTGCTATGGACCTGCATTCAGTGAGGCGAGCATGAGATCCATGTTCCTGAGCCATCAGATCCCATCATTAGTGTTGCCGAAGATGACATCATTGCTTCAGCTCACGGACACGGACTTTAGCCATGCCTTCAAGGCTGCCGTGAGAAGAAGCCTGGATGAGCAACACCGGCGGCATGAGCCAGGCACAAATGCGAGGGATGGGCCGATGCATGAGTCGTTTACGAAACTGGGCATCCGTGAGATGGCGAAAGCCCTCCATGAGGCCATGGAACACATGATCAAATTGAATGAGGAAACAAACTGGGTTTTGGCCGGCTTGAGAAGGAATGGATGGTTGGCACTGCGGCCAGATGAGACGGGAAAGCTCAAGAAATGTGATGATCAGCCATGGGCACAAGGCATGCGATTGGGCTGCAAACGAGTTGATGAGAGATGGCTCAAGAACCGCTTCCTGCATTTGAGTGATGAGGGCATCGTGAGTCCGCCGAATTGGGCAAGAGTGGACGGAGCAAAAGATCTCAGCGACTTTGTCCATTGGCATTACGATGAGGCACGGAAAACTGAGGCAGATGCCGTCATCGAATTGGATGACCCTGATCATGAACTTGATGAGCCTGAATGGCAACAAGCCGCCCAATATCAGCTGCCGCTGGACATGAGACGGTCATTGGCTGAGTATGAGAAGAACATCACTGATGAGGCTAAAAAGCTGAGAGCAGACCGCATGAAAAAAACTGTGAAGAGACGAGAACAACGAGATGCCCTGAAGAAACTGTCTGATGAGACGAAGGAAGAGCTGAGAGCCACACTGCAGAGCACATCAAGGCATGGGGGTGGGGGTGGGGGTGGCGGGCTTCGGTAAAGGGGGAGAGGTCCTGCTAGTGAATAAACGCAACCAAACGGGGTAATTAGCCTTGTAATCCTTACTTTTTGGAGGCTGTGGTTTGTCCCGCAGCAGCAGAGCTTCCTGATCACTGCTTCTTCCAAATCCACAACCTCCACACGCAGAGCTTTCCTTATGATTCCTGATCCAAACCAGAGCCGGACGCCGGCGACCGGCCCTGCTAATCAGGACCCCAAAGCTTGCTCCTTTATTTGTGGTGTCAGGCACCCAAAAAGGGGTGGCCTTGCAGAACTTGAGAAATCGCATTCTTTAAGATGCCTTCGATAAAGAAATCCTTACTTTCTGGAGGCCTGCAGTTTCGCCGTTTCGCCGGCAGCAGAGCTTTCCTGATCACTGCTTCTTCCAAAGCCACAACCACCACGTGCAGAGCTTTCCTTATGATTGCTGATCCAAACCAGAGCCACACGACGGCGACCGGCCCTGCTAATCAGGGCCCCAAAGCTTGCTCTTTTATTTGTGGTGTCAGGCACCCAAGAAGGGGTAGCCTTGCAGAACTTGAGAAATCGCATTCTTTGAGAGGCCTTTGATAAAGAAATCCTTACTTTCTGGAGGCCTGCAGTTTCGCCGGCAGCAGAGCTTTCCTGATCACTGCTTCTTCCCAAGCCACAACCACCACGTGCAGAGCTTTCCTTATGATTGCTGATCCAAACCAGAGCCACACGACGGCGACCGGCCCTGCTAATCAGGGCCCCAAAGCTTGCTCCTTTATTTGTGGTGTCAGGCACCCGAAGGGGGGTAGCCTTGCAGAACTTGAGAAATCGCATTCTTTGAGAGGCCTTTGATAAAGAAATCCTTACTTTCTGGAGGCCTGCAGTTTCGCCGGCAGCAGAGCTTTCCTGATCACTGCTTCTTCCAAAGCCACAACCACCACGTGCAGAGCTTTCCTTATGATTGCTGATCCAAACCAGAGCCAGACGACGGCGACCGGCCCTGCTAATCAGGACCCCAAAGCTTGCTCCTTTATTTGTGGTGTCAGGCACCCCAAAAGGGGTAGCCTTGCAGAACTTGAGAAATCGCATTCTTTAAGAGGCCTTTGATAAAGAAATCCTTACTTTCTGGAGGCCTGCAGTTTCGCCGGCAGCAGAGCTTTCCTGATCACTGCTTCTTCCAAAGCCACAACCACCACGTGCAGAGCTTTCCTTATGATTGCTGATCCTAACCAGAGCCACACGACGGCGACCGGCCCTGCTAATCAGGGCCCCAAAGCTTGCTCCTTTATTTGTGGTGTCAGGCACCCAAAAAGGGGTAGCCTTGCAGAACTTGAGAAATCGCATTCTTTAAGAGGCCTTTGATAAAGAAATCCTTACTTTCTGGAGGCCTGCAGTTTCGCCGGCAGCAGAGCTTTCCTGATCACTGCTTCTTCCAAACCCACAACCACCACGTGCAGAGCTTTCCTTATGATTTGCTGATCCAAACCAGAGGCCGGACGCCGGCGACCGGGCCCTGCTAATCATCCCCCCCAAAGCTTGCTCTTTTATTGTGGTGTCAGGACCCAAAAAGGGGTAGCCTTGCAGAACTTGAGAAATCGCATTCTTTAAGAGGCCTTTGATAAAGAAATCCTTACTTTCCTGGAGGCCTGCAGTTTCGCCGGCAGCAGAGCTTTCTTGATCACTGCTTCTTCCAAACCCACGACCACGACGTGCAGAGCTTTCCTTATGATTGCTGATCCAAGCCAGAGCCACACGACGGCGACCGGCCCTGCTAATCAGGGCCCCAAAGCTTGCTCCTTTATTTGTGGTGTCAGGCACCCAAGAAGGGGTAGCCTTGCAGAACTTGAGAAATCGCATTCTTTGAGAGGCCTTTGATAAAGAAATCCTTACTTTTTGGAGGCTGTGGTTTGTCCCGCAGCAGCAGAGCTTCCTGATCACTGCTTCTTCCAAATCCACAACCACCACGTGCAGAGCTTTCCTTATGATTGCTGATCCAAACTTGCTCCTTTATTTGTGGTGTCAGGCACCCAAAAAGGGGTAGCCTTGCAGAACTTGAGAAATCGCATTCTTTAAGAGGCCTTTGATAAAGAAATCCTTACTTTCTGGAGGCCTGCAGTTTCGCCGGCACCAGAGCTTTCCTGATCACTGCTTCTTCCAAAGCCACAACCACCACGTGCAGAGCTTTCCTTATGATTGCTGATCCAAACCAGAGCCACACGACGGCGACCGGCCCTGCTAATCAGGGCCCCAAAGCTTGCTCCTTTATTTGTGGTGTCAGGCACCCGAAGGGGGGTAGCCTTGCAGAACTTGAGAAATCGCATTCTTTGAGAGGCCTTTGATAAAGAAATCCTTACTTTCTGGAGGCCTGCAGTTTCGCCGGCAGCAGAGCTTTCCTGATCACTGCTTCTTCCAAACCCACGACCACGACGTGCAGAGCTTTCCTTATGATTGCTGATCCAAACCAGAGCCACACGACGGCGACCGGCCCTGCTAATCAGGGCCCCCAAAGCTTGCTCCTTTATTTGTGGTGTCAGGCACCCAAAAGGGGTAGCCTTGCAGAACTTGAGAAATCGCATTCTTTGAGAGGCCTTTGATAAAGAAATCCTTACTTTCTGGAGGCCTGCAGTTTCGCCGGCAGCAGAGCTTTCCTGATCACTGCTTCTTCCAAAGCCACAACCACCACGTGCAGAGCTTTCCTTATGATTGCTGATCCAAACCAGAGCCGGACGACGGCGACCGGCCCTGCTAATCAGGGCCCCAAAGCTTGCTCCTTTATTTGTGGTGTCAGGCACCCAAAAAGGGGTAGCCTTGCAGAACTTAAAAATCGCATTCTTTCAGAGGCCTTTGATAAAGAAATCCTTACTTTCTGGAGGCCTGCAGTTTCGCCGGCACCAGAGCTTTCCTGATCACTGCTTCTTCCAAAGCCACAACCACCACGTGCAGAGCTTTCCTTATGATTGCTGATCCAAACCAGAGCCGGACGCCGGCGACCGGCCCTGCTAATCAGGGCCCCAAAGCTTGCTCTTTTATTTGTGGTGTCAGGCACCCAAAAAGGGGTAGCCTTGCAGAACTTGAGAAATCGCATTCTTTGAGAGGCCTTTGATAAAGAAATCCTTACTTCCTGGAGGCCTGCAGTTTCGCCGGCAGCAGAGCTTTCTTGATCACTGCTTCTTCCAAACCCACGACCACGACGTGCAGAGCTTTCCTTATGATTGATGATCCAAGCCAGAGCCACACGACGGCGACCGGCCCTGCTAATCAGGGCCCCAAAGCTTGCTCCTTTATTTGTGGTGTCAGGCACCCAAGAAGGGGTAGCCTTGCAGAACTTGAGAAATCGCATTCTTTGAGAGGCCTTTGATAAAGAAATCCTTACTTTTTGGAGGCTGTGGTTTGTCCCGCAGCAGCAGAGCTTCCTGATCACTGCTTCTTCCAAATCCACAACCACCACGTGCAGAGCTTTCCTTATGATTGCTGATCCAAACCAGAGCCACACGACGGCGACCGGCCCTGCTAATCAGGGCCCCCAAAGCTTGCTCCTTTATTTGTGGTGTCAGGCACCCAAAAAGGGGTAGCCTTGCAGAACTTGAGAAGTCGCAT